GGATCACCCAAACAGCCACGTGTATAAATTTATTAGCATTATGTGCAAACTCAATCGCTATCCAGTAGGTCTCGGTGACTGTCCTCATGTGTACTACGACACGCTCATCATTGCTGAAGGGGGTCGTTGTCAGTATAATAGTATGTACCCGAGGTACGGTATATGTATGTGGGTAACTATACACAAGTGTACTATAAAAAAAACAAAAAAAGTAGACCTTATCTCTTTCTCAGCAATATTATGTACGCCTGTGTTCTCATTAAATCGTTCCTGGCCCCGAGATGGAGATCGAATGAATAGCGGTCATGGAGGAGGAGTAGGGGGCAGTGGGGGAGGAGGAGGAGGAGGAGGGAGGAGGAGGCGGAGGAAGGAGGAGGAGAAGAGGGGAGAAGGTGTGCCAGTAAGGGGAGGAGGAGGAGGAGGGGAGGTGATGGAGTAGGGGCGGAGGAGAGGGAGGAGGGGGTGAGGAAGAGAGAGAGGGGAAGGGAGAAGGTGATGGAGTAGGGGGCAGGAAGGAGGAGAGGAGGAGGACGGAAGAAAGGTGATGGAGATCGAATAAAGCATGGGAGAGGAGTTAGGGTCAGGAGAGAGGAGTAGAGGGAGGAGGAGAGAGGGGAGGAAGGAGGAGGAGGGGAGAAAGTGATGGAGTAGGGGGAGGGTGAGGGGGAGGAGGAGAGGAGGAGGGAGAAACGGTGATTAGGAGAGATGGAGAGGAGGAGAGGGGGAGGGAAAGGAGAGGAGCGGAGAAAAGTGATGGAGATCCGAATGAAGACGGTCAGGAGGAGAAAGTAGGGTGCTCCTCCTCTCTCCTGCTCTCCTTGCTCCTACTCCTTCCTTCCTCTCCTCCTTCTCTCCTACTCTCCATCCTCCTCTCTCCTCCTCCTCCTCCCTTACTCCACACCGGGTCTCCCTCCCTCCTCCTCCTCCTCCTCACTCCTCCCATCAACCGTTCTCTCTTGTCTCTCCTCCTTCTCCTCCTCTCTCCTCACGCCTCCTCCTCACTCCCCCCTATCATCACCTTCATCTCCTCTCCCTCTCCTTCTCCTTTCCTCTCCTGCTTCCTCTCCTCCTCCATGACCTTCTTTATTCGATCTTCATCACCTTCTCGCGCTTCTCCTCCTCCCCTCCTTCCCTCTTCCTTCTCCTCCTCCTCACGCCATCCTCCTCCTCTTACTGCATCACCTTCTCCCCTCTTCCTCATCCTCCTCCTCCGCCTCCTCCTCCTCCTCCTCTTGCCCCCTACTCCTCCTCCATGACCGTATTCATTCGATCTCCATCTCAGGGGCAGGAACGTTTATGTAAACACAGGGTACATAATATATGCTGAGAAGATACAGGTCTAGTACACTTGTGTATAGTGTACCCACATAGATATACGTACCTCGGGTACATACTATATACGACAACGACCCCTTCAGCAAAAGTGAGCGTGTCGGTATAGTACACATGAGGACAGTCACGAGACCTCTGGATAGCGATGGTTGCACTAAATGCAATAAATTTATACACGTCTGTGTGCGTGCATGTGTACGTGCGTGCGTGTACGCGCGCACACGTGCGTTCGTGTGAGCATATGTATGTGCAAACATGTGTGAATGTGTGTGCGCGAGCGATATGGAACGCATAACCCACTGCATATATGCGTATGACCTAATTCTCAAAATTTTTAATTAAATAATAATTAAAATTTCCAAATCATGATAATAATGTTGTAGGTAGTTAATGACGGTAAAATATAGATAAAAACAAAAACAATAAAAATAGGCTCGGCAGGGGATTGAACCCTGGATCTTTGGTTTACGAGACCAACGCCTTACCACTTGGCCACCGAGCCAATTTGCTATCAGCAGTAACCGGTTATCACTTATGGCCTGTTAGTAAATGGCTGTAGTGAATATGTTGTTGTTGGTGGTTGGTCGTTGTTGGTCGTTGCTTTGCATTTCACATATTATATACACCACTCTTTTGATATTGATTCTCAAATATGATGAAACGTTATAATATTTACATAGAAAAAAAACCAATGCCTTTTAACCATAATTATAGTTTTAACTAGGGTTAAATTATAATACATTGCACGTTGTGTTTATTGCGTTGCCTCAGCCCGTGAGTGAAATAATGCCTATTTATGGGCCATCAAATAAAATCCTCATATATTGATTTGCGCTCATTCTCTCGCACACGTGTTACCACAACGACTGTTTGACGCTGTGTCGTATATTACTGCTTACACAAGCGTCAACACTTCATATTGATGGGCATGTATGTAGCGAATCAATTTTCCTTTTCATGCCATATGCCAAAATTAAGGCTCGACAGGGGATTGAATCCTGGATCTTTGGTTTACGAAACCAACGCCTTACCACTTGGCCACCGAGCCGGATTCTAATGGATTAATAATGATATTAATATTTCTATAATTTAATACGTATGAGGAATATGGGTATGACATATATTCGTGCGTGCCTGCGTGCGTGCTTGCTTGCTTGCGTGCGGGCGTGCGTATGTGCGTGCGTGAGTGCATGCTTGTATGTGTGTATGTATGTGTGTGAGTTATATGGTTAGATATATTAACGGGATAGACGGATGAATAGATTAATAAATTGATTGTTGCATAGATAGATGGATGGCGGGTAGACAAATTGACAGATACACGATATCTATCGTCTTCACACCTTACTGTTGTTCACGAGCTTACCGACCTATAATTCTTCGCGCGTATGTGTCGATACTTTCATATCGATGGGCATTTCGGACTACTGAATCATTTGTTACCCCCCCCCCCCCTCTGCCTTAACGGTTCAGTTCCAAAATAAAGGCTCGACAGGGGATTGAACCCTGGATCTTTGGTTTACGAGACCAACGCCTTACCACTTGGCCACCGAGCCTGCTACCTGGAAGAATTGGTAAGTTATGATTATCACATTCTTATGATTTGCAATGAGAAGTATAGGTGTATGGGATCGACGGATGCACAGATAAATGGATTGATTGATAGATAGATGGATGGATTGATAGCAGGCAAACAGTTGACAGATACGGGATATCACACTCACGTTGTTCAAGAAGTTGCCGACGTCTAACACGGTCAATAGGAGGCGTTGCATGTCGTCGTTATCTCGCACGAAGCAGGCAGTTCTCTCCATGGCGGCGAGACACACCCGCAGTTCGCCCGTCGTGCGTGCGATCTCCTCCCTGCCGACCATCGCCTCGATGTGTCCGCGACATTCCGGAATCCTCGCCAGACACACCAGCAGATGATCGACGTCGTCCTCGACATCAGCGCCATCTGGTATCGAAGCGATGCGCTGCATCTGAAGAGTAAATTTCGCCGGTGTGTTTTTTAATCATCCTCTCCGTTTTAGCGAGGGAACTACGCGCCTTCCTCTTAGATATCGTTCCTAGCTCGGATTTATTACAGGACACACGCCTAAGGAGGAACGCCTAGCTAGCTTAGATTTGTACGCGTTTTCACGCGTGCATGCCATTTTGTTAACTTTACTGCATTTTTAGAATCTACCTATCATTTGATTGACATGATATCTTCTGTTGATATACATACACTTGCAAGAACGCTGACTGACTGGAGCTACCCGCCAATCACTCATTGCGGATTGGTAAATTACACTAGATATCGTTAATTGCGCTTATTACCACTGATATGCTTCTCTGATGAACTATAGAGAGAAATAGAAAATGTCCGGAATTTTAAAACTTATCTTCATTCGTGTTATAATCTAGTGACTCTCTGATGAAATCCCGATGAACGGCACGTTGGTCTGCGTGCGCGCGAGCAGGTGTACACGTCTACACAGAAACCGATGTTTCCTAATTTGATATTAGGCAAGAGAAAAGGTTTTTCGAGTTTTACGAATATATAGTGAAATAGATAAATGTGTCCTCCGACATTACAAGATGTGCGTGTACGCGCGCGCACGTGTGTGTGTGTGCGTGCGTGCGTGCGTGCGTGCGTGTGCGTGCGCGCGTGCGTGCGGGCGTGCGTGCGTGTGCGTGCGTGCGTGCGTGCGTGCGTGCGTGCGTGTGCGTGCGTGCGTGCGTGCGTGGGTGTGTAAGTATGCGCACTCGCCTGCTGCGCGTTTGGGAGTATCTCCAGCAACTCCTTCAGTCGTTCGAGCTCGAACTTCTGCGTGCTGGCGGATTCAATGCTGCCGGCGATATCCTCTATCTCCAATAGATGTTCGTCCATCAGGCGCCGCAGCAGTAGATGCAGGCCGACACGTTGCCTGGGAGCGATGTACGCAAACTGGGACGAAAGAAACAGACGAGATCTATATGGATTGATGTCATCAGCATCAGCGGCAAGCCAGCGGCGAGACGGAGCGGGTTATATGTGGATCATGAACCAGGAAACTTTTACCTCACCTCGCGGTGACCCATCACCATTATTTTCCTCACGCTTCCTTGGCCGGCGATCCGCCATCGTCATCGTCATCATCGTCACGCCCCACGCCCTACCATCGTCACCGCCATCGTCATCGTCGTCACGCCCCACGCCCTACAATCGTCACCGCCATCGTCATTGTCGTCACGCCCCCACGCCCTACCATCGTCACCGTCGTCGTCATCTTCGTCACGCTCATGCCCTGTCATCACCAACATTATCGTCTTGACGGCCTCACGTCACGTCATCATCATCATCATCATCATCATCATCATCATCATCATCATCATTGTGGTCCTCGATTCGCTCTCTCGGCCTGCCATCATCATCGTCGTCGCCGCACCACCCACTCTCTGCCCGCGTCTCGTGTATGAATGCCACTCGGACCGCACCTCGGCTCTCGCCGCCTCTGAACGAGCATCGCGGAATCTCTCCTCGAGTCTGTCAAAGTCGACAGAGGGCGGGTTGATCGCTTTGCCCATCCACACGTTTTGTCCCGCTGAGAGAGAAACAAAATCGTGTTAGCTGCGTAGAGAAATGCGACAGGGCACTACTGAAAAAAAACATAGCAGAGAACATTAATGAACCATGACAAGTGAGTCTCCGGTGCGTTTCACGTAGTAACAGAATCTGCTAGGCGCGCTACGATGCGGATATATAGATCACCGTTATGATATAGGCGTTGCAGGTATTTCTAATACGGTGGCGACAGCATTAGTTCTCGGTCGTTCCATTGTTACAGCTGCCAGTTACGTTGAATGTTCAGCGGAACTTCGGTGAATGAACCAATGCCAAAACAAGGCTCGGCAGGGGATTGAACCCTGGATCTTTGGTTTACGAGACCAACGCCTTACCACTTGGCCACCGAGCCTGTTTCCTGTTGATATTAGGATGGCAATCAATATTTCCGTGTTCGTTACCAATTTAGTCAGGTAAGAGGATATAGACAGAGATTTGGTATTCGATATCTTTTATGTTCCACTGCCCCATATGTATTAACGTTATCCAAAATATCGGCTCTTTCACAAATATCACGTAATAACGTATATTCCATGTAAAAAAATCCTATACACGGAATCATTTTAATTAAAATCTACCTGATTTGAAAGTGCTGTGTGTTATAGATGACAGTTTAGATGGATGCCGACAGAAAAATGCCAGACTGTGGAGCATTAGACGCAGCACACGTAAAATTGGAAAACCATTCTCAATATTTGCTGTCTAACAAATTGCATCCGCTCCGTCTTTGTTGCGATGTTATCGCGTAGCACATACGGACTTTTTAGCTCGGTGAACAAACGAGTTCCAAAAGAGGCTCGGCAGGGGATTGAACCCTGGATCTTTGGTTTACGAGACCAACGCCTTACCACTTGGCCACCGAGCCAATTTCACATTAACTTTATTAAATATTTTCAGTGCTACCTAACCGATAACACCTGCTTATAGTTAAAGGGGCGGGTGGGCAGTTCGTAAATGATTGATTTCTGGTATCGACTGTGATTTCGCACTATCTATAATACCTGCTCTCGTGTAGACCACGCGGCTAGCGAGAACGTTTTTAATCGATGCGAAACCAAATATTTTACGTTCTATGTTTGACATTATGCTGATCTACCCTCTGAACCGATTATCTACACTGTAATCTAACATCTAAAAAATCCCTTCCGAAAAAAATTCTTTACTGTTTGCGCTGCCTAGAATACTGTGTGCGGTCAGACTGCATTCCCGTTTTGTTTGGTCTATCGCGTCCAAGCAAATTTTAGCTTCTCGGTGATGAATGAACAGATTGGAAAAAGAGGCTCGGCAGGGGATTGAACCCTGGATCTTTGGTTTACGAGACCAACGCCTTACCACTTGGCCACCGAGCCGGATGCTGATTGTCAGCCGGATAAATTTCCTGCCGGCCATTCAATAAAGCAGGTATGAGGGCAAACACAGCTGCGTTAGTTCACATTTCTCTATGCAGCTACTCACCTCGTATTCATTTAACTTTGAAGCTATGCTCGGATATAAAAATCCGCTGGCCTCGTTCGCCATCATATTATTATTATTACAAAAACGATTATTATTTAAAATGTTAATGGATCTAACAACCTAAAACCGTTTATTATTTGTTCATAGGTTCAACTAATTTTATCTGGAAACGAAACTTGACCAAAGGTTCGTTGCCATACAGAGAGTGTCGTTTGCATAGTCACCAAAGTATAGATAAAAGAACATGGTGGAAATAGAATGTCTTCATTTAGTTTTTTTGCCTTTTATACTCCTTGGTTTATTCCCCCAGCACACTGTTTTACAGGATGGATACTTGAGCTCAGTAAAAATGGAATTCACCCTCTATGGTAGTTGACTAACACGAATCGTGTCAGACAAAATCATAAAATTCTTCCTCGAAGCGTCAAGTTATAATTTCGAGCACCCCCACCCCGTTGCAATAAGAACACTGCGTGTTGACCAGTTAGATGCCGTGGCGCTCTCTCTACCTGCAATGCATAGAGTGTGGCGTAGCAGTGTACGCACGCGTGCACGTACGTACACGCTAATTCGAAATCGTAATTTTAGTTACACATGAAAACCGGCTTTAGCTAGAAGCTTAGCTGTAGAAGAAGATAGTAAAATAAAAATACGTTAAAAAAGAAGTGCGGTTAAGTTTAGCTTCTAGCATTCTATTTGCACTCGGTGTAATTGCTTTCATTGGCGTGAAATAAATCACTTTAGAGTTGTTCACTTAGCTTAATTATCACTTAGAGCTGTTCGTACTTGATGATCGGCCGATGTGTATCGGCAGCCAGGGTAGAACCCGCATCCTAGCAACCGGTCTGCGCACGTCAGCAGCGCCATCTCCCGCCGTCCGCTTGCGTCTCTCTGCGACCTGCATGGCACACGAGCATCTCAGGTCTTGTTGATCCCCTCCCGCGGGCTTCCCGACCTTGGGCGGCAGCGGCGGAGGGGAGTCGACGTCTGTGTCCACGCCGCTGTCGAGACTAGAACGCGCCGCTCTCTCCGACGACTCGGTCTGCGTCTCCCGCTCTTCTGTTGCCACCGCGTCACTGGCAGCGCTGCAGTCGCGCTCCGTCTGCGAGGCCGTCGACGCCATGTTTGATCCGCTCGTGGAGGCCGCCATGATGCCGCGGATGGAGTCTCGCAGCAGGAACTCGGCCTGGCCGAGCTTGTGGTTGAGGACGAACTGCTCACAGGCCTTCTCTAGGTTTCTCCACACAGTGTCACTGTAACAACGACGACAGTGGCGACGATGATGATGATAATGATGATGATGCCGACAGTGACGGCTGCTGCTGCTACTGCTCCTGCTGCTTCGGCTGCTGATGAGGATGAGGATGATGATGATTATGATGATGATGATGATGATGATGATGATGATGATGATGATGCTGATAATGATGATGATGATGATGATTATCATCATCATCATGATAACGACGACGACGATGATGATAGTGCTGTTAATGATGATTATGACGATAATTGAAACAATGATGATGCAAAATTACGATGATTCAACTTCTTAATAACGGCTGGTAATTAACAATTAACTTGACACACCCATCACTTTACTTGCCTGCTCATTTATACGTTAATCTACCTAATTATGCGCTAGTCATAGAAACGACAGCTTCCCCGATCCCTTACCAACGAGTATAGACCAAATGAATTCGTAAACGATTTACAAAGGGGGACGATCGAAGGGTTTATAAGCTCTTGATGATATTGCGTAAACAAATAAATATTTCAGGGACATCGATCCTAGCGTACACGATGAAATATGATATGTGAAGTGATGACATGATGTCATTATATGTGACATAACAATTAATAATATATATATATACATTGTGTAGTATAATATAATGATAACGTCGAAATTATAATAATCCGATTATTATTACTATTATTATTATTATTATTATTATTTCCAAAGTGGATCACGGCATTAGCCGGTGGCTTCTGGGTTGACCGTGTCCCAACATGAGACATAGGGATTCAATCCAGAATTTTTCGTAGATTTTTTGCACTTCTTGGGCAGTGTGGTGGCCAGGGAGTTCCTTAAGGTTCTTCTCAAAACCATTCTTTATAGAACCAAGGGCTCCAACCACCACTGGTACAATTCTCGTCTTAGTATTCCACATCCTCATAATTTCTATCTCCAGATCTTTGTACTTGGTGAGTTTGTCTCTTTCCTTCACCATGATGTTAGAATAATCTGGTACGGCTACGTCAATCAACAGGCATCGTTTTTCTTTCTCGTTGTGGAGCACTATATCAGGGCGGTTTGCAGGTATCTGATGAAATCTGTGCGATCTGTCTACACTGCCGTATCCCACATTATGGTAGTATTTCCTATATTCGTAACTGGTCTCGGAGTATGTTCATACCACTTGTCAGGTACTTGCTAACCAAGTTCACTGCAGATTGACCAGTCCAGATAGCTGGCTACCTTGTTATGGCGATTGATGTACTCGGTTGGGGCCAGCACTGCATGTGCATCCGGCGATGATGTGGCTGATGGTCTCCTCTGCCTTGCTGCACATTCTGCACTTGCTGTGACCTGTTGCTTGAGGTTGTTGCGTTGATGATATCTGGTGTTGAGTGCTTGGTCTTGGGCTGCAATGATCAGGCTTTCTGTTTCCCCTTAGAGCCCGTAACTACTCAGCCAGGCAACGCTTGCAGTCTTGTCGACAAATGGCCTGTCGAGGCTCTTGTAGAATCTTCCATGCAAAGGCTTGTTCTTCAATACCTCGATCTTCTCTGCTTCCATATTGGCTTTCAGTTTCTGCTTTGTTGAGGATTAGCTGGTGGGCTGAGGAGACTAGTATTTTGCTTTGATTTCTTTCGCCTCGCGTAAGAGAGCGTGCTTTGATTTTCCAGACTGATGGATTTTGATAAACTTTGTAAATTTGTCTTGCTTAAGCTCGATGTAGTCGCCTAGACCTACAATGGCAGTGTTGTACGCAGACATCAGTTCAATGAGACCACGACCACCATTTTGCCTCTTGATGACTCTACAGTCGCTCTACATCTGCTTTTGGGTGATGGACACCGCGCATGGTTAGTAGCTTTCTTGTCTGGCGATCCATCCTTTCGATATCTGATCGCAACCAGTTGATCACCCCAAAGCTGTATACGTGGACCGGCAGTGCCAGGCTATTGATCGCTGTTATCTTGTTTTTTGAGTAGAGATCAGACTTGAGAACTAGGCGAACTCGGCGATAGTACTCCTTAGCAATGTTCTCCTTTATCTTTGCATGCTGAATACCATCACTTTTGTCTACACCAAGATATTTGTAGGTGTCCTCGTGGTTCAGACTTTGTAGGGCTGTCTTGTCATCAAGCTCGATATTTCGACTTTTTATTAGCTTACCACCTTTTAAGATAGCGGTTGCACACTTTTCCAAGCCGAACTCCATTTTGATGTCATCACTGAATGCTTTGACTGTTACCAAGGCCTGCTCCAGCTCCTATTCGTTTTTGGTGAACAGTTTAAGGCCATCTATGTAGAGCAGGTGGCTGATGGTGCTGTGTTTATTGACTGTAAATCCCAGACCCTGTCTATTCAGCATGTTGGTAAGCGGTGTTAGTGCTAAGCAGAATAGCAGGGGAGAGCGCGAGTCGCCCTGGAAGATTCCTCTCTTGATTGAGAAATCTTCTGTTCTGGGGCAGCCCCCTTGAGTGAAGAGGAGTATTTCAGTCTTTCATTTCTTCATTGTAGCTTCCATGAAGTGAATGATGGTTGGTGACACACGGTAAATTCTCATGGCTGTGAGAATACAGGAATGTGGGACACTGTCAAAGGCTTTCTTATAATCAATCCACGCCATTCCTAGGTTCTTCTTGAGTTTTTTTTTGCCATGCTTACAATCATATTACTGATGAGAAGTTGGTCTTTGCACCCTCTGGACGCTCTTCTACAGCCTTTCTGCTTATCTGTGAGGATGCCGCTCTTCTGTAAGTGATTGTAGAGGCGGTTGGTGATTGCAGCAGTGAGAATCTTGTAGGTAGTAGGCAGGCAAGTGATTGGTCGATAGTTCTTTGGTTATTTTGTATCCTTGCCTTTTGAAAAAAGGAAAGTGATTCCTGATGTCAACCAGTTAGGGCTATTGCTTGAATCCTTGATGGTGTCATTCAAGGCCCTGGTTAGTTGTTTATAGAGGGCACTTAAATGCTTAATCCAGAAGATGTGCAGCTTGACTGGGCCGAGAGACTTCCAGTTGTGGGTCCGCTTGATGGCCTGCTGCACCTCACACATTGTAATGTCAGTCCATACATCCATTGCTACATTCTGGAATGCTTCCTCCTCTTGTTTGATCCAAGTGGCTTTGGTATTGTGGTCTGTGCCAACTTTCAGTATTCCACGCCAGAATTGATCGAGTCGCTCTTGAGAGGGAGGTTCCTTGATGGTGCTTTGCTGCTCGTTGAGATGCCGGCATAATTTTTTGGCATCTTCATGGAAGAGCTTATTCTGATAGTAGTGCTCACTCCGCTTAGTAAATCTTCTCAACCTTTGAGCTTTGGCCTGTAGTTTCATCTTTATTTCTTGTTCGAGCTCGCATATGGTCTTATTCTCCCGTCGGCTCTTGCATAAGATGTCCCTGGCCTTGGCATGTATACTTGCTTTGTTGGGACACATTTTTTTATTTTGCTAAGGATAGAGAGGTCCTTGCGAGGGTTTTTTGTTCTGATTCTCTTCTTTTATGTTTGGTTCCTCTGTGGGCTTCGTGACTCTCTCTTTTGTCTCCCCAGCAATAACAGCAGCAGTCGCGTACATTAATTCATTGATTTCTGATAAGTTTAGATGGTTATCTTTGATGATATTGGTGAGGGCCTGATTTGCAGCTTGAATATTGTGCCGTATTGCCTTGTTGAGATAAACCTTTTTTCAGGCTTCTGCGTTAATCCAGGTTATTATTATTATTATTATTATTATTATTATTATTATTATTATATAAGTTCGACGTCGATCTCGCGTGTGCCTACACGTTAACAGTGCCCAAGTTTCCCGTAACAACCAGTTCTTACTCACCTGTGAGTACTAACTGTTTCGAGGTAGTACATCTGTAGCAGTATAATTCTCAGAGAGGAAACCTTCGGACTGTCACAAACCTGCAACGTGTTGCGTTAACAAATGCACCTATACGCTCGTGTGGCGACTTCTTATGCGCTAAGAGCTTTACGCTACAAAAATCCGCGTGCGATGTTTACCTTATATTAATTCGCTAATAATTTTAAAATATGAAAAAGTTTTCAACGTAGAAAGTACATATATAAACATAACAAAATTGATTAATAATTTTAATATATCAAAAAAAGAAAAAGAAAAAAGAGTAAATATATAAATTCATCATCTCTATTCTGCATACATGTCACGTCTATTCATCTATATTACTATTCGTTTGCGCACCTGGAGATATACAGCGGTAGCATAAATAAAGATGAAATTTTCAAGTAAACTGGTTTAAACCGGTACATGTATCGTGTGTACATACGCACGCGCGCATGCACACGCCCGCACGCACACACGTGTAGAACGTATGTGGCAGACATACTGACATGCACTAGGATCTTCGAGCACCCTCACCTTGTTGAAGATGGCAGAGAACAGCTGCTGACAGTCCTGCACATCGACGCCGTCACGCACGCTGCACGCGTCATCGTCTGACATCATCAGCCGGTAGAAGGCTTCACACTGAATCATCATGTCGTCTTCGTCTTCGTAACGAAGCTTAGCTAGCGCGTCAAGCAGTCTCAGACCTGACGAACAGCGACGACATAGAACACCCACGCGCATACACGTACGCATGCACGCGCGTACGCATGCATGTACGCATGCACACACGCACGCACGCGCACGTAAGCATGCATCTACGCACACGCGCACGTGCAAACGAACAAACGCGGATACTGTACTGCTTATAAAAGGATGCACGGAAGCAAGCATGCAAACACGGACGCACCCAATGATGCTCGCGCGCATACACACACACGCGCACGCACGCACGCATGTACACGGTACACATGCACCAACGTTAAAACACTGACCACGCCATTGACTTCACCATAGCAACAGCAAGCGGACACCCGCGAACTGTATACAATAAATATCGAGCGGATACCAGCGAACAGTAAACAATAGTAATCAAGCGGATACCAGCGAACAGTAAACAATAGTAAGCAAGCGGATACCAGAGAACAGTAAACAATAGTAATCAAGCGGATACAAACGAGCAATAAATAATAAACAGCAAGCGGTCAACAGCGAACAACAAACAGATAAACATCAAACAGACAGCAACGAACACTCAACAACAAAAACAACAAACAGGTAACAGCGAGGAGCAAACAAGAAACACTAAACAATTAACAGCGAACGGGTGACGATGACAGCGATTTTGTTCACCTATGAATTCCTGTCTGATGGCGGCGCGTGGCTGGAGATCTCTCGTGCTAGCAATGATGCAGTTGATGAAACCCAGCACAGCGGTGCGGTAGTGCAGCGTCTCCGTGCTGTCGTGAAGCTGAGCCATGATCACGCTGAAGCGATAGCTCGTCTTCTTGCAGTCCTGACCGCAGCGGACACAGAGCAGACGGGATAATCATAAGGGATTCCCTCCGTTGTAGGACGGGAGTTGGGGATGCGTGTCACTTCGCACTTGACGAACTGTTAACTGGCCCTATTCTAAATGTTTTTTCATCCACATGCGTTCCAATTCGTAGGCTTTTGTAATGTCGTTTGACTCTCTAACTTCAAGCTAATACGTGCTTCTTCTCGTACGTTTCACATGGTACGCTCGTCGGCTAGTGCGATCGTACGCGTTTACCATGTGGTAAGTGCGCGTGAGAAGTGTTTGGTTCCTACCTGGCTAACTTTTACTATAACCGTAATACATACCCTGTCCTCTGCCATACATAACCATCATACGATCCAACCATGACTGTTAACTCTTACCATGACTCTACCTAAACTTGATATTGGTCCTAAACCTAACTCTAACCCCTACTCCTAATCATGATCCCGACCCTTACACTAAGCCTAACAATATTAGCCCTGCTTCTTGCCCTAACATCTACCTATGGCCATAACCCCAATCACTACCCCTGACCACAACCTCAACGTCTAACCCTGACCATAACCCCAACATATATCCATGCATGACCTAACCCCAACATCTAACCTTTCCCTTACCTTGTACGTGTCCAGGGCGCGCAGGACTGCATTGCGGGCATCAGCTGAGAAGACGCAGATCGCTGATAGTAGGTCGAATACCTGTCTCTTAGTGAGGCTGTTCGTCGTATCCAAAGCTGAAAGAATCAAAACGTGCGTGGCGACATCCGTCGTCAACATCGGCGACGACTGCAGCCTACAGGGGGCGCTGCGGCCGGGCGCGCGTCAGTTACATAGATCAGAGGGCGTGATGACGTTTCGTAGGTCGTGGAAAGATCTCAATTATAATTCTTCAGATATCTCGAATCAAAATAGACTGGAGGCGAGATTAAACTTCGTGGAACGGGAATTGTGACGTAACATTAGAGAAGACTCGGCGTGTCGCGTTTATGCTGACGTCACTGTATTGCGGCCCTGCGTGACATTACTGGCTGGCGTCAGTCACGTAAGCAGACAGATGCATAGAAACGGATAGCGTATCGACTCTGCTACACTACTGTGCCACAAGCGGGTCGAAAAAGATCATTCCAATGGTTACCATGTTATCAGGATTAGGCTTTGGGTAAAGGTTAAGAATATGGTGGGGGATAATGTTAGGTCCAGGGTTAGGATTATGGATGGTGTTGAAATCAATCATAAAGTTGAGATTGCGATTAGGGTTAAGGACAAGGTTAGGGTTAGCCTTATATTAGGGGCGTGGGTTAATGTTGCGATTAGTGTTAGGGTTAAGGTTAGGTTTAAGCTTGCGGCTAAGGCTAATGTTAGTTTTCGGGTTAGAGGTTCTAAGCTTAGGCTTAGGCTCAGATTTGGGAGTTAGAGTTAGTGATAGGATTAGAATTAGGGTCAAGTTTAGGGTTAGCTTTAGAGTTAGGTTTTACATTACATTTCATTTTATTTCATTTCATTTCATTTCATTACGTTACACTACATTACATTACATTACATTACATTACATTACATTACATTACATTACATTACATTACATTACATTACATATACGCATTTTCTCAATTTTGTTTTATTCTTACATTTAGCTAGACAGTCGATGCACAGCTGGCTGCCGACGACGTGTCGGAAGCCGGACGGGATGTCCAGTACGTGCCGTACAGAGTTGACACATTCCAGCTGCAGCAGTGAGTGTGTAAAGTCCGTGAACCCACATCCACTGAGCGCCTCCAGACAGCCAAACAACGCCTGTGTGAAGGGAAGAGACAGCTAGAGACGCAACGTTATCAGTTTCTGAGCAGCAAGGGAGAGTGGGGGGAAGTGATGAAGAGAGAAAGAGATGTACAGAATGAATGAGGTAGGCAGAGTGAAAACGAAAGCAAGAGTGCGATAAAGAAGGGTAAAAGGCGCGGGGAATGGGAGAGAAAGAAAAGGGGGAAATGGAGAGAGCGAGAGGAGAGAGAATCAATACTCGTATATATATATATATATATATATATATATATATATATATTATATACATATTGGCCACAATAAAACTTCTTCGCATTGCGGACACGCCAGCAATAACAGACGGGTTTCCGCGGTAATATGGGCAGTGCGCTCGCCGTGTACGTGCGCGCGGAATGCGTGAGCAACGCAACAACTCGAATACAAAGTCGGTTATTTAGAGCGCTGTTGTAGTGTCAATTGTCGCCATAAATGCATCGTAGCTGTGCAGATTGTACGTGGCAAATGTTATGAACAGCGGAAGCGCGCGACGGGCGCGTAATTGAAATGTATGTGTGTGGTGGCGTGCGTGTGTGTGTGTGTGTGTGTGCGTCGTGTGTGTGCGCGTGTGTGTGTGTGTGCTGTGTGTGTGTGTGTGTGTGTTGTGTGTGTGTGTGTGTGTGTGTGGTGTGTGTGTGTGTGTGTGTGTGTGTGTGTGTGAGAGAGAGAGAGAGAGTGAGTGTGAGTTTGTGTGTGCGCGTGCGCGCGCGCGCGTGTGTGCGTGCGTGAAGGTGCATGTGCACGCGCGTGTTGCATGCATGCGTGCGTGCGTGCAACCGTGCGTAAAGGTGTGTGCAGGCGCGCGCGTGTGTGTGCATGCGTGCGTGAGTGCGTGCTTGCGTGCGTGCATGTGTGTGTCACGCTCTCCGAGGGTGTGTGTGTGCGTGTGTGAGTACGCGCGTGTTGTGAGGTAACAGACGAAGGAAAGAGATGTATTTGCAACGCAAAACATGAGGAAGCAGCGCGCGGGCAGCAGCTTCATCAGTTACCTCGATGCCGCCCTCGTGAATGAATCGATGAAGCCACGCGTCGTGGTCGCTAGCGCTGGCGAGGCGGTTCGACAGATACTGCAGGCCCTCGATTGACGGACCGCGCAGCATTCTGACACTGTACTCCACTGTAACCAAAGAAGTAGTAAAATACCAATTAAGTTATAGCATTTCTATAGGCTGTTGTAAAAAAGGTAAACCGAACCGACCGTTACCCCTGTAGTGTCGGCTAAGAATGAGCCTTGGGTGGATACCATGCTAGTGGGAGGGTCTTCTATCTATTCCGGAATCTCTACCTTTAAATTGAGTCCGTGTGGCTGCATTTCTATAGAGTTCTATGACTGAAACAGGCGCTGTGAGAGTCGTACACCCGTAGTGTATGTGATCGTAATAATAATAATAATAATAATAATAATAATCATAATAATAAATAGTGAATAAAAAAAGTTATCATTATTTAGGAATTTTTATCGCACAAGGAACGTCCTCGGCCGGACTTTGAATGCGTACATGGCTGCCTAGGATGCTACCACTACGTACGGTGGTGTACAGAATAATAATACAATAACAATTCTCAGATCTTTAAAGCTAATGTTACATTATGATAAAAATGCTCTGTTAAAAAGATTAATTTAACAAACATTTAAAATTTTCTAGTTACTGTTCGCATTGAATATATGCATCGGTAGTCGATTCCAACACTTCAATATACATCCAGTTATGTTATATAGCACTTCCTTGCTCAATTATTTATTCCATTTGCTATTATGTGCTATATACTGTGTACTATTGTTCAATTATTTGCCCCAGCGTTTGATTTGTTTGCACACGCTCGAGTAAATTAACAAAGTTGGGACTTGTTTGCACGGGCGATCCCCGAGGCCGTTAGCAAGACGCTGATAGATGCATTGTCATGCTTTCTTCACGAGCATTTGTTGCCAGTGTGTCGAGTACGATTACGATCAAGAGTCCATAACAGAAAATGTTCTATAATGGACTCTTGGTAAGATGCTACTATCATACCGCCAACTACAGCCGGGGTGGCCCAACGTAGGAGGGTGATAGAGACTTCGTGACTAAACTAGATAATAACATTGGCATGAATTTTTTGGTAGTTTAGTATCGAAAAAATAAACTGCATGTGTGATAGGATTAACGGTGAGGGGGTTACCTCGCCGCTATTATTTATTTAACCGGAACTTTACAATGAAGTTCGCAATTGTGCATGATAAGACCTCTCGCGTACAGGTGTAATGTGTCGCTATGGTTACTACTGCTACTGCCTGCTGCTGCTCTTGCTGTTGCTACCGCTAATGCTGCTGTTGCTACCGCTACTGCTACTGCTACTGCTACTACTGCTTCTACTATTGCTACTGCTACCGCTACTGGTATTGCTACTGCTGCTGCTATACCGCTACTGCTACTGCTACTGCTACTGTTGCTACTGTTTCTGCCACTGCTACTGCTACTGCTACTGATAATGCTACTGCTACTGATACTGCTGCTACTGCTACCGGTAATGCTGCTTACGTGTTCAAGCAACGCTATGTTTACCCATCGCTTTCGTATACAACGGCAGCTGCTAATCTGTCAATTAATAATTAACTCTAGGAGGAGAAGGCGGACACGAGACTGCCCACTATTAGCTCGCGCGTGTGAGCATGTCCGCACCTGTCGACCGTTGGTTCATTTCCCGCTGCCGACTCTAAACACCGCGTGACTCATCGTACAGATGGCGATAAGAAAGAGTGCTGACGCTGGATGGTTGGTCGCAAACGCTTGACTCTCGGTTTGTTATGCGTGCAGACAGCCGCGTGCAGGTGTGTGTGCGTGTGTGTGTGTGTGTGTGTGTGTATGTGTGTGTGTGTGTGTGTGGTGTGTTGTGTGTGTGTTGTGTGGTGTGTGTGTGTGTGTGTGGTGTTTGTGTGTGTGTGGTGTGTGTGTGTATGTGTGTGTGTGTGTGTGTTGTGTGTATGTATGTGTGTGTGTATGTGTGTGTGTGTGTGTGGTGTGTGTGTGTGTGTGTGTGTGTGTGTATGTGTGTGTGTGTGTGTGTGTGTGTGTGTGTGTGTGTGTGTGTGTATGTGTGTACGCGGGGAGTAAGCACTACCCCAAACAACTCGCCAGCGACTATCACGGCAAGGGGAAGACTTGAAGAAGGGAGGAAAGGGAGTGGGCAAAAGAAAGAGAGAGGGGAGAGATCAAGAGAGAGAGAGGAGAGACACACACAACACACACACACAGGCGGACAGCCGGACAGTCAGAGAGACAGACAGACAGACAGACGACGGACGGACGGACGGACGGACGAAACAGACAGACAGACAGAGAAAGACGGGGGAGAGAGATCGAGAGTGAAACAGACAGAGACAGATGAGAGAGAGAGAGAAAGAGGGAGGGAGAGAGAGAGACACACAGAGAGAGCGAAAGAGAGAGAGAGAGAGAGAGAGAGAGAGAGAGAGAGAGAGAGCGAGAGAGGCGAGAGACCGAGAGCGTGAGGCAGGAGAGAGTGAAGGCGGAGAGAGTGCTAAGATTTCACGACAGATCACCCTACCCACTGGAGTGCCTTTCAATGTGAAACGACGACGAGTAAATTATTCTTAAGGATTTAAAACCGCCCCTCAAAAAACATACGCCGTCGCCGCTTCGCGCCAACCAACAAAACGCTCACCCGATGTTTACACACATAGCGCGCGATCTAACCTAATCGTAAACCTAGGTAAGGCGCTTAAAACCTGCGAGCGCGCGCGTTAGCGTGGCGAGCATCAACTCGCTAGTTTTTTCCGACGCAGACGGGCACACGTGAAAAGGCTGGCCGGAGACTGTGTGAAGTGGCAGCAGCGCAACGAACCCGCGGCTTTCGACCGCATGCGCAGGCAACCAAAATCCTTCTCAAGGTTGCTGTTATATTAAATTCGCGTTAACAAAAGTTCGCGTCGACTGCGGTTTTTAGGAGGCGGCGCGGCGGCGTTGGCACGCACGCACGCACGGCACAGGCACGAACTCACGCACATGCACGCACGCACGCCGGCCATGCAGGCAGCACCACGAAAGACAGGTCGAGCGGGCAGCAACACCCCCCGGATTGCGGTGCGGCTCCCAACCCAGCAACACGCCAGCACAACAGACAGCGCCACGCTCTTATAAGCCTCCATCATCCCCTCATCCCCCGCGTCAAGTCGAATTAACCGGCGAAGGCAGCACAGGCGATTGTGTGTGGAGCAGGGAGCTGACTGAGAGATTGTCGAAGACGTGGAGGAAGAGAAGAGGTTAGATCGCCGGAAAATCCGATGAGCGGGCTGAATCGCACGCCTTTGTGTCGCAGCGAGACAGATGCGGTGAGCAGATGGGTGGCGAAGAGGGGCACACAGACAGACAGAGGGAAAGGGTAAGGAAGCGGGAAGAAAAAGAGAAGTGGGGCGGGGGGGATAGAGAGGTGGAAGGAGAGACAGGCAGGGCAGGCAGGCAGGCAACAGAGACATAAAAATATATAATATATATATATATATATATAGATAGATAGATAGATAGATAGATAGATAGATAGATTAGATAATAGATAGAAGATAGATAGATAGATAGATAGATAGATAGATAGATAGATAGATAGATAGATAAATAGATAGCATAGATAGATAGATAGATAGATAGATAGATAGATAGATAGATAGATAGATAGATAGATAGATAGATAGATAGATTAGATAGATAGATAGATAGATAGATAGATAGATAGATAGATAGATAGATAGATAGATAGATAGATAGAAGTAGATAGATAGATAGATAGATAGATAGATAGATAGATATAAAGATAGATAGAGATAGATAGATAGATACGATAGATAGATAGATAAATTATAACAGTGATAGCATACACCGTGATGTAAGGCAACCGTCGCGGCGGTCCGAAGTCGGGCAAGTGTCATCGGCTCTCGTAATGTACCTGCAACGGCCTCGCGTTCTCTACACGTCCGGCCAAGCTTCGTAATTAAAAAAAGTTCGCGCCGGTGATAGTAGCGGAAGCTGTTTTTCTACTAGAGTCTCCTACATGCGTGCGACCTGGGCAGCGAGTTTTCGCTTGACGGTGGCGGAGCACAGGTGTGTGGTAAGCATGGCTGAGCCACATGCTGGAGTGATGACCCGCGAGCATGGAGCGCGTTCATTAGTTGGCACTGAGACCCCCCGTGTACATTAGCAATATACAGCTATCACATTCCAGCAATGACAGCTGGTAGACCCATTATCATGGACTCGGTATATACGCGCAACACACAGCACACACATCAGGCAGCACACACCTCACACACCAGCACACACTTCAAGCACACATGGCACACAACACACGCATCAGAACATAAGCACACATCACCATAACAGGAAATAAACACATCACAACACATATCTCACATACACCTACAGCAATACATACATATACATACATACAACTACATACATACATACATACTACATACATACATACATAGCATACATACAATACATACATACGAATGAAAACAGCACATACACAGTATTAGCACACACGCGC